ATATATATATACAAACACACACACACACACACATATATATATATATTATATATACATACTTACATGCATACGTACATACGTACATACATACATACATACATACATACATACAAATATAATATATATATATATATACCACGTAGTGCAGCTCATACTGGCGAGAACTCCAAACAGAACCGTGCAAACTTGTATAGTCCTGTACCCTGAAGACGTGTATATACGCTCACCTTGGCAAGATTTGTGCTTTTGCCGACCCCGTTAACGCCACAGAACGCAATGACATACGGCCGCTTGCCCGCGCCCAGCTCACCCGCATTGGCCAATTGAATGTCACGGATTATATCCACTCTGGAGTGCCATGGTAGGTAAGAATTACCATATATAGAATAGGTGTGTATGTCTGATTGGGATGCGCTATCGAGAAAATAGAGTATCAACTACTCTATAATACCTGAGAAAAGTAAGAAGTCTCTTGAGTTTGGGCCATGGTTAGAGTCTGAGCTAGGGCAGCCTACTCCCCAAGCTGCACCGAAAAATACACATTCAATAGCACAACTATAACACAACTATTCAATTGATTTAACCTAGACAGATTCAGCGATTGTATACGTAGATATTGATCAGTCCATATATTTAATATGCACAGATATACGTACATGTGTATGTATGTACACACAACGCACAACGCACACATTATATACATACATACATACATATATATATATATATATATATATATATATAGCAGTATAATAGCGTACATGATTATGAGGACTGATCATCCCATAACCTTGTCATATATAGTCTTGACTAGATACTGCCCATTGTCAGTTCCCTCTGATTGCTGACACAACATCTCCCGAGTGCCCAAATCTATTTTTACAATGCATTTTAAATTTTGTTATAGGTGCCCCCGGCCTCGTCTGCAGTCCGTCACTCGTCATCTATAGATTAAACACTACTTTACACTACGCGCTACATTGCAGTCTATGTTCTCGTTATATCGGTATACAATATATATATATATATATATATATACCGTACCTTCGATTTGACGAGAGAATTCTATTTAAGGACGCCTGTAGTGACTCTCGTACTGTCCGCTTGACGCCTCGAATGGTGGACATCTTGGTGCCCACCAGATTCTCTTCAATACCTGTGCACGACAAGGTCATGTACAACACAGCAGCATATCAATAACATACAAAGCGAGACACGCACACAAGTGTGTATTATATACAAATGCACTTACAAAGTGAAGCACACACACAAGTGTGTATTATATAAATACACTTACAAAGAAAAGCACACACACAAGTGTGTATTATATAAAAATACACTTACAAAGAAAGACACACACACAAGTGTGTATTATATGCATATACATCCAAAAAAGGATGCACACACACAAGTGTGTATTATATGCATATACATCAACAAAATGACGCACACACACCAAGTGTGTATTATATGCATATACATCCACAAAATGACGCACACACACAAAGGTGTATTATATGCATGTACATCCACAAAATGACACGCCCACAAGGGAGTATGATAGGATGAAGGGGTGCTGCCCCAATCAAACTATTTCGTATACATTACATACACTTGATCAAAATAGTTGCCATGAGTAAATTGATGACACATGCAGAGACCACAAGACTTCAGGTGTTTGGTGTTTGATCTGAAAGATGGGTGCACTATTATACTAAATATGCCAAGGATGCGAGGGCGACAAATTGGCAGATAAATGTGATTGTCCTGGTTGTTATATATATATAAATATATATACATACATGCACACACACACACATGTATATATATATATATATATTCAGAAATAAATAAATATGTAGACATATACATATACATATACATATGCATATACATACACTTACACTTACACCTACCGTATGTCAATTTGCATACCTTTGCATAGTTCCATAGCGACATCACTGGCCACATTCTTGCCCACGAGATGTTCTCTATACTGTGTGAGTGCTGCGTCTATATCGTCCCGTGTGAGGGCTTTATTTCCGGTCAGTCCATCGAACAGATTCGCAAAAAAGCCCTTCCCCTCCGCAGCTGCGGGTGTGTTCACCTCGTCTGTGTAAGAGAACAAACGTGGACAGTGTTGAGTACACAACTACACATAGACATACATATGCATATATATATATATACATATACATATATACGAAGAATGCTTATGTACACGCCATCCAATGCACGTATGTGTGTATTAAGAATGTATATACACCACAGTCAAGGATGCTTTGATACCAACAAGGTTGTTTGCTTAGACATACATGTCTTAACATCTTATCATAATAGTAAGACACACAACCATGCAACCCACACGCCCGTTCTACAACGCGCGGCACATTTCGGTTAATACAACCCAACCCTAAACCCTGAGCACCTGAGCACATGTTGTATCACACAGTCACACACCTTCGCTGCCTTCTTCTTCACTGTCCTCCATGCCGTCACCAATGGTGTGGATGTCTCCTCCTCCTTCACAGCCAACCCCTTGCAGCAGCTTTTCAACCTCTTCTTGTTCTTGAGCTGCCCGTTGCTCATCAGTTAACTGGGATTGTAGGTGGGTAGATATGTTACTGAGCGTCCTTACATGGCATATTTATGTTATATATATATATATATATATACATAAGACATACAGGGCATGTGAACGTGTATAGATCAGACACACCTGTGTGGATCTGTCAAGATCTTTCATCTTGACTGCTTTCTTATTTCCGGCACCACCGTCCCAATTGCGTTTTTCTTTGGCTTTGCGTGTCTCGCCCGGTGACACATCATCTGTGGCATTCCAAAAATAGAACACACTTCGATATATTCATACGATTATATTGGATATATTAAATATGGTGCAATAACTAGTGCACACGCAGTAGATATTGGCAGACACATGGGCTAAGTTAGCGGATTATACTAAAGCACCAATGTTTAGTAACACGGCTGAACACTGCGATTGAGACTTAGGTTGTAGTGAGGTAGTGCAGAGGGTTGAATACAAGTATTGCACAATTTGCGACGTTGAGTCTAGATATATATATATATATATATATATGTATATATATATATATATAGATACATACCTACATACATGCATACAGATACATAGATACAAAGATACATAGATTCATAGATACACACATAGATACACACAGACATACATACACAAATACATACGTACATACATACATACATACACACATACCTTTTGCACTGTCTTCGCCTGAAGTGACCTGACTGCTGGGGCTTTTCTTGCCACCCGCTCGTCTGGCCTGCAGAAACTCTCTGCGAGACTCAGCCACACTTTTGCGTTCGTTTCCTGAGGTCGTGTTTGAATCCGGAGGTGCGTCTACGGTCATTTTAAGGGCCTTGTCTCGTAGTTTCTGTGCTTTGGCTCCCTCTGCGAAGGACTTCATCTGTGCATTGAAGAGCATGGGGTGGTTTGTGGGTGCTCGTGTTAGTGTGTATATGCTTGTACGTGAGAGTGTAGGTGTATCTGTGTCTGTAGGGGGCGTCCTCGGTCGTTTTA